GCGGAGGCCTGCTACCAGGCGACCACATTTCGGTCTCCATTACCCTCGAAGCTCACACCCGTATGGTCGTGACAACACCACAAGGGAGCACCAAGATTTTCAAAACTGAGCCCATCAGTATGAAGGGCCACCGCAGCACTCTCAAACACTCTCTCTCCGACAAGAGTCGGCAAACATTAGACGTGCACGTCGGCGAGGGTGCTGCCCTCTGCTATTTGCCAGACCCAGCTGTGCCATATAAAGACAGTCGCTATGAGCAGGTCCAGACCTTTACCGTGGACGGTCTAAATAAGAGCAGTCTCTGCATTCTCGACTGGGTGACAGAAGGCCGGACGTCCCGTGGTGAGAGCTGGGACTTCCATCTCTGGCGAGGCAAGAACGAGGTATGGACTACAACAACAGACGGGAAAGGAGCACCGCCAAAGAAGAAGCTGCTGCTCCGGGACTCGCTCATTCTAGATGACGAGGTTGACGTGGCCCTTCTTGAAAACGGAGTGGACACATGCGACCGTAGTGATCTGTTACGGGAGCGTACCCGACCGCACGGGGTCGTGGGGACCTTGATTCTCTACGGGCCAGTCTTTGAAAAGCTCGCGTCTTTCATCATGGACCGGTTCTCCTCGCTACCGAGGATTGGCGCAAGGAATTGGGCCTCCTCGGCGCCGGCCGCTATGGAGTCCACACCCAACTATGATTCTCAAGTGACATTCACGGCAGCACGGGTGCGTGCCGGGTTTGTGCTGGTGAAGTTTGGCGCGAAGGAATTTGCAACGGCCAAGGATTGGCTGGGTGGGATTCTGCGCGAGGAGGGTACGGTGTTCCGCGAGTTCGGTGAGGAAGCGTTGTTTTGTATGTGATCTACCTATTCACATAGGTGTCTTATTTTTCATACATACTACGTCTTTCTGCTTGTCCCTCGGGAGGGACTAGCCAGTTATCTTTTCTGTTATTTTTTACTATCTTCATAGATAGATGATACCCGGATCACGCATCCCCCCGAAACAGACATGTTTCCAATCAAACAGTTATTTTTTTGATCACCAAGAGAACTGCAGTCCACAGTAATCCAACCACGGAAAGTTAATAGGAGTCATTGGCTCATATTTAGATCCAAAATGATCAGAAGTTGTTCTTCACTGATCTATTCACAATCAGCATCATCTAGTAGTACTCTAGTGTAGTACTTCCGCAGCTATCTAGTAAACCAACCAACCAATCACCCCCCAGATTTCCCCTCAACAACTGACTAGTAGCTAAACCTAAACCAGACCTCCCCAAAGAAAACTGAATCAATAGTACTGATCCCAAAACCATCATGTGGGTATCTACCTAGCAACAAAAAAGAAGAGAACCCAGAAAAACGCCATCTTTATCATCAGCGTCTAGTAGTAGAAAGACCCATGTATCACACCAGGTGAATAGCGTGGGGGGGATCATTGCATGCGACCGATGTATGTGAGAAAAGGGAAAGAAAACAAAAAAAAAAGAAAGAAGAAAGAAAGAAAGAAAACCGAACTATTTACAATCAACTCCACCAATCCGAGATTCTAGGCCGCCAATCCTGACGAGTGGCGCTGCGCAGATCATCCACGTTCAGATAGTCGATACCTTCGCGGACAAGTAAGCTCCAGAGGTGGTTGCGCAGACTCCGTGGCCAGGCGGGTACGCCCCAGTAGCGGACTTTAAGGCCGCGACGATGAGCGGCGCGGATCTGGGCGCGGATCTGATCGACTTGGCGCTGGGAGAGCCGGAAGGACCAGGGCATGCCGATGGATTTCTTGAAAGAGACGGAAGCGTAGTAGCTATTGGTCCAATCAAAGGTGTCGGGACCGATTTCTGCGTCGGAAATGCCGGACAGGCCTTGACCGACATTCTTGGTGGCGCGGGTGGCTATCCCTGTGTCTTTTGCGGCTTCGGGGGTATTTGAGAGGGAGATGTCATCGTCATTGTTGTAGTCCTCGGTGGTGATGTTGTCGTCGACAAGTTTGTCGAGTGGCGCGTCGAAGAAGATATCGCGGTGGGTGGTGTTGGCCGTGACTAGGTTGAAGGGAGTATTGCCGGTGCCGACAACGGTTATGGGGCCCGGAATGATGTCGGTGCCGTTGAAGAAGGAAAGATAGCCGCGCTCGCGGAGCGGGGCGAGCTGTGCATGCACGTAGTTCCAAGTTTCTTGACCGTCCGTTTTAAAGTCGATCAACAGGATTAGGGTTTGCGAGGGATCCATGTCGAAGACCCCTTGCGGCGGACTGTCGCGCTGAGGGTGGAGGTCGGTGATGGGGTTTTGCTGCTCGAGAATGCGCAGCAGCGGGTTGATGTACAGGTTGCGCAGGGTTCGCTGGGGCGTCAGCGCAGACATGGTATGGCCGACGTAGAGGTCATCTTCGACGAGCCACACATCGGCCTCCACGCCGGTACAACCAGCCTGCAGGGCAGAGAACAACGGCACGGGGCGCCAGTAGTCATTGTGAGAGTGGCATCCCACGGGGACGATATCTCGGGAGATGTCTGTTGGCCAATGCAGGATGTCCGCGGATGGGGATCGCTGGTCGCTATGACGCCACCGCTCGATGGCACGGTCGAATTCGTCGGGGAAGAAGGAGACGGCGATGCTGCAGGCGATGGAGATGAACTGGACGACGCCCCTAAATCGTTGGAGGTGAGTTGACGAAACACTCACCCATTAGGGGAAGAGGTGGGGGAACTCGACTCACAGCATGACGAGGAGTCCCAGAAGAGGGTAACACAAGCACCGCGACAGTGATTTGAGTCTTTGATATTGTCGCGAGGAGGAATGCCAGGCGGCAGTGGGTGTGGCGTTGTTGGCGGAGGCGAGCAGTGGGCGAGCGTCGGCGGGCTGGCGGTGATGCTTCTTTTTGTTCTCCCGCGGCGATAAGTAGGCGGCGATAAGAGCAACGATTCCCCGCATGCCCCCCGATCGTGGTCGCTTGGCCGCGTAGAGTTGGGATGCTTCTACATCAGCATCGTAGGCCGAGTCATTGAGGGCAGTACTCGTCTCAAAATCCTTGTCTAATGGGAACCGGTCCAATTGACTCTTATCGTCGTGATTGGAGAAGGTGGAATGAGGGTAAGCCGAGGGAGACGAAGAGGCCATACTGCTTGATCCGCGTCACTCACTACTTACTCGCTCACTCACTCACTGCTAGTCAGGAACCAAGAGGGAGGAAAGAGAGTAGGAGTAGTAGTACTAGTAAGTAGGGAAGAGGGAGTTGCTTTATAGGGTTTATATTATATCTCGGGGGGGTCAGGCAAATTCCGATAAGTCGAGCGAGAAAGCTGCCCGGACCACCAACGGTCGTCCCATGATTCATCCATTCAATGGAGGAAAGTGCCCTGGAGAAGGATGAGGGGGGGTGGGATCCATCAGTTGCAGCCGAATTGCCGCAGGGCCCCGGGAAGGATGTGAGGGTGAAGCGATCTCCACTTCCCAAAGGTAAATTCGGTTGTCACAGTCATTTTTGATTTTGATATTCACCGATCAACCATGTCACCCATCTTGATATTCCCTCTTTCTCTTTGCGCGCTGACGACCACACCCTGGGATTCGTGCAGACATGTCTTCACACAAGTTGGTAGCGGGCTTAATCTATTTCCTCCTATCCATGGAATATCATTCAGTATTGAAACCTTAGTACAATCCTTCTGTCAGGCCAGAAGAAGTCGGGAACGAGCCAACACGCCCATGTGCGGCACTGAAGCTGACGATTGGTCCATCCCGACTAGTCTACCCTTTCATCCAACCTAAGAAGTCTTGTTCCTAATACTGCAGTGAATGATAGTGCTTACCTATAAGCCAGACACCATCTTTTAAGATTACTAGTTTCAAGGGTCCCCTTCTTGTCTAACCTCACCTCATCACAAGCATTCTACGTACTAGTAATAATTACTACTATATTTAATAAGGCAAGAATCGAAAAAGACGAGAACTGTTGCCTAACCACCTGGATCATCAGCAAATATGACACGGCCACCACCACCACTGTGGGACACAAACGTACAGGAGAGAGGAGGGGGGGCGAAAAAAAATAAAAAATCCCGCGGAACAGCAGTGGATGTGGATGGAACCCTTGAACAACATTCTATGGTGCCGACTTACCCAGAGTGCAGTGCAAGCATGAGGTGATCGGGGAATTGATTAGTGCCGGACCAGACCAGACTTCTCGCACTAAATTGGCTAGGCTGCAGGCTGCCTGCAGCGGTTGCAGAACAACAAGTGATCCAACACACTGCTATCACTAGTAGTACTTACACAGTAGGGTTAATACTGGATGTTGCTAGGATTATAGACCTAGAGGATGATAACTACTTTATAATGTAGCAGTTGTGTGAGTGAGACATTTAGCTATGGTCGAATGACAGTTGTGTTGTGTGGCTCCCAGGTTAGTACTAGTACTACAGTGTAGGGCCAGCGTTGCATCGCATTTAACTGGTGCTTTATATCCGAGAGGGCAGTCAGTCTAGTAGCTTGCATTTCGGATGTACGGATTACACTCTGGTGCCCCGGTGGTGGAATGCTTAGAAATGGAAACTGGGTTGCTCTTTAGTGTGATTATATTGTTTTATTTTATGCACTTATTTACTATAATCCCTATTATGGCCAGGTTCATGTAGTTGTTCTGCCCTATGTTGTACAATCTTACTTGATAGGTCGAAATATATATTCTAGGCTGGCCCTACAAGGGGTCCAACATATATCACAGGTCTATTATACCATACTTGATCATTTGCACTGAACCAGCCACTCCATAGGAAATAAATAAACTGACATGTGGTACATCAGTTCGGATAAAATATACACAATAATATCATGTAGAAATAACCAGACCCAAAACCCGAATTACAAGGATATCTCCAATGTCCTCCGTAGATAGTACTAAAGATCCCATCCTTATCAGCGGCGATAAGATACGCCGCCCACCCGAAAAGGGAAACCCAAAAAAAGTTTCAACTCCATCTAACCAACACCGATACCCCATCAACCACAACAATCCACATATACAACCACCACAATGCCTCACAAACACAAGCGCCGTGAGAAGGATGCCAAGTAAGTCTCCTACCCGCCATATACAACAACAACAACCCACTAACCCAAAACTACAACAGCACCTACGACCTCCCCCCCACCGTAATCGCCAAACCCCTTCCCGTCCGCGATCCCTCCAAACCCACCAAAGGCAAAGGCAAAGGAGGCAAAGGAGGCAAGGGCGGCAAACCACAAACACCAGCCAAACCCACAAATAAAGCCATCGGGGAACGCAAGGTCAAATCCAAATCTACCTCAGAATGGGCCGACGACACTCCGCGCGCATTCCGCCATCTACTACAACTTCAGCAGAAGCAACAAAACGGCGCACAGCAGAAGAAGCGTAAACGCAACGGGAATAACGATTCCGATTCATCAGACTCCGATGAAGATGTCCCTCAGACAAACAACAAGAACAACAAGAAGAAGAAGGCCGCTACATCCACTACCACTACCACACCCACCACTACAGAAACCTCTCAAGCCGAAGAAAAGGCCGTAAAACCGCAAATCCTTCCTGGGGAGAAGCTCTCCGACTTCGCGGCGCGTGTCGATCGCGAAATGCCCCTCTCCAACATGTCACGCAGCACGAAACCCTCCGCGACAGATGTGCCCAAGATCCGCGAAACGCGGGTGACGAAGCATGAGAAGCATCTGCTACGACTGCAATCGCAATGGCGGAAGGAAGAGTTGGAGATATTAGAGAAGGAGGCGGCGGAGCGGGAAGAGCGCGAAGAGGAGATGGAGGAGCAGTTGCGGCTGTGGAAGGAGTGGGAGGCAGAGGGAGGCAAGAGGAAGGCGAAGAAGAAGGGAGTTCAGAAACAGCAGCAGGCGAAGGTGGAGGCGGATCCGTGGGCGAAGTTGAAGAAGGAACGGATGAATAAACAGATTAGTCCGTTGGATGTGGTGCAGGCGCCGCCGCAATTGACGAAGCCGAGAGAGGTGTTTAAGGTGCGGGGAGGGGCGAAGGTAGATGTTGCGAATGTGCCTGCTGCTGGTGGAGCGACGAGTTTGAGGCGCAGAGAGGAGTTGGCGAATGAGCGGAGGAATATTGTTGAGGAGTATCGGAGGTTGATGGCTGAGAAGAGGAGGGGGTAGTAATCCCTCTTTCTATGGAATTATTCGGAAAGTATAGGTATAGGTGGAGGATGCATTGTTGTAGATAATAACTACCAATACCCCTAGAAGAAGATTTGAAACACGTCTGAAAATGCTTTTTTATATATACAAGATACACATCATGTCTAAGTATGTCCCAGATATCAAAAAGAAAAGAAACAAAAACACCAATGCTCACTCTACTCCTGCTGCAAGGACTTAACGTAGTCGGCCGCCTTGGCCTTGATCTCCTCGACCATCTTGTCATTTCCACCCTCAGCCGACGCCAGCTTCTCCTCGAAGGAGAGCCACTTCTTGAAGAAGAATTTCGCCTGCTTAGGCCGAACCTTCTTGCTGGCCTCAACGGCGGCGGCAGCGCCACCCTTCTTCGTGTCGCGGATACCCAGGACCCGCTCGAACAGACGGCGGACCTGCTCGGCATCGCCATTCTTGATCTCCAGATCCAAGAGGATGTTCCAGAGATCGATCTTCTTGGGGAACGAGGACAGCAGGCCCTCGAACACCGTGCGACCACGCTCGATGTCTCCGTTAGCTGAGCGGAACTCCAGCTGGCCGAACTTGGACGTCAGCTCAACGTGGGTGTGGGAAGGCAGGGACTGCAGGGCGCGAGGCAGTAGCGCACGAGCGCGCTCGGGAGCAGCCATGGTGTCGAACAGGAAGCTGGCGTAGTTGACGAAGAACTTGGGGGATCCGAAGACCTTCTTCTTGAGAGCGGTCTGGAAGAGGTCATCCGCTTTCTGTAGGTGACGCCGTTAGCATGCGAAAGGGAACTCAGAGCACATGTGGTGAAACTTACCTCGTTCTTGCCTGACTGGATGTAGATGCTGATCGTCCGCTCGTAAACCTCCTGGGTATCGTTGTACTGGCACGCACGCTTGAATACGTCCTCCAGAGTGTCGTCGTTGCCGTAGGTGTTCTCCAAGTTGAGCATGGCCACCCAGATGTTCAGCTTCTCGGCGTCCTGGCCGATGGTGATGGTGCGCAGAGCACGCTCGGCAATCTCACGAGCCTTCTCGACCTCACCCAGCTCCAACTGGAAGGCCATGTACTGAAGCCACAGGAGGGAGGAGTCGGGCTCACCGAGCAGTAGTCGTTCGTAGTCAGCGACAGACTGGGGTCCGTTAGCATCCAGATCACCGGTCCGGTCGACCTGGATCTCGGGCTTGCGGTTCTTCTTCTTCTTAGGTCGCGAGTCCTCCTCGTCATCCGAGTCTGAGCGGGCATCAGCCTCATCGTCGTCCTGGTTGTTGCCGCTCCAGTCGAAACCACCAGCACCGAGTCCGCCATCTTTCCGGCTTGTCTTGGCTGGTGCATCAGCCATTTCCTCGTCGTCGCTCTCTTCTTCGGACTCGTCATCACTATCACCCTCGAGGTCGACTCCGCCCATGGAAACGTCACTCTCCTCATCGTCGCTGCCCTCGACATCAACGCCACCGAAGCCATCCAAGCTGACGCCTTCAGAGTCGTCATCCTCCTCCTCTTCGTCGCTGTCCCCATCCTCCTCATCTTCGAAGTAAGAAGCCTTCAGTCCGAAAGAGATCTTCTCCTGCTTACGGTCGATCTTGAGGATCTTGGCCTTCACAGCATCGCCCTCTTCGTACAAGGTCCGGGCATCTTCCACACGACCCTCAGCCATTTCACTGCGGTGGCAAAGACCGCTGATGTTCTTAGAACCGTCGATGACGACAAACGCACCGAACTCCTCGACTTTGCGGACCTTACCAGTGACAATCTGGCCAGGCTTGAGGTCGTGAAGCGTGATGGGAGCCTTGTAGTTGGGGTCCAGAACAGACTCCTTCAAGCTCATCTGCAGCTTGCCTTGCTCCGAGTCGGACACAGTAACACGGCCCTTGACCAGTTGATCGGCCTGGAAAGAATCCTTCCACTCCTTAAGGTAGGAATCGGAGAGGTCAGAGATGCGGACATAAGCAGTAACATCGCGGCCGACCGTGACGAAAAGTCCGTTGTCTGCAACCCTCCGGATGAAACCACGAACAACGTCGTTCACCTTGAGTTGCTTGATGGAGGTAACCTCCTTGTCCTGGACGGGCAGGGAGGAGCTGAGAACCTTGGACGGACGCAGAGAGAGGGAGATCTTCTTGTTAGCCTTGTCAATGGCAACGACACACGCGCGGAGCACTTCGTTCTTCTGGTACACAGTAGGATTGGCCTTGCTGAAATCATCAGCCATATCAATCAGATCAACAGCACCAACAATCGATTTGCTAAGCTGCATGATGACCTGTCGTTCAGTGACCTTAGTGACACGTCCTGGCAGAACCATTCCAACCGAAACATCTTCAAAGACAAGCTTATCGGAGCGCTGCTTGGCGGTCAGATCCAGACGGCCCTTGTCAGCGTCTACCGCGGAAACATGAACCTTCAGCGCAGATCCCACGGGATAGTGCTTCTCCACATCGGCAAGGAGGGACAGGTCATCGGAAGCGTCCATAAGACGCAGTCTGCCGCGAACATTGGGGGACAAGTTGATCCAAAGGCAGTCATCAGCCACGTTGTTGACGAAACCAACCCATGTCGAGCCAACCTGGACCTGCTCCAGGTTCAAAGGACTGGGGTTGGCAGCCTGCAGGAAGCTTGGCTTCACAGACAGCTCGAACACCGGGAACTTTCCGGTCCGGTGACTGATAGGAAGGAACTTGTGATTGCGAGCGTCGTGGATACCCAGAATCCTGGCTGAGATAACCTGCTTGGGACGGAAGAAGCGCAAGGGCTGCTTGCGATCCTTGATATCCTCCCACTTGTCAAACACCTCAGAGACGTCGATGCGGCCCTGGATGTTGTCGGCCAGCTGAACGTTGACCTGAGTCGCCCTGACAGACACGACCTTGCACTTTGTGACCCTTCCGAAGGTGAAATCAGACATCGACTTGATGCCCTCGTCAATAGCGTTAGCGACGGCATCGTCAGTGGGAGTGGGTTCGGGCTTGGCGGCAGCCTTCTTCTTCGCACCGGCGTGGGTGGCCTCCGAAGGGTTCATGCTCAGGATGAACCGCTTAAAGTCTGCGTCGACCGAATGAACGGTGGCGGTGACGACTTGACCCCGAGCCATGTCATAGTCCGGCTTGTTGACATTCTCATCACCAACAAGTCGCTTAGGAACGAGACCAATAACACCACCCAAGAATTCAACGAAGACACCGTTCATGGTGATGTTGCGGATGAAGCCTGTAACATCGGCACCTTCCTTGAGGTCCTCGAACTTGGACGGGATTGAGCCGTGCTTAGCGGCCTTCTTCAGGCTCTGTCTACCCGTTACCCTGATGAGGCGATGTGCGCGCTGAATATCGATCACCATCAGTTCATTGAGCTTCTGCCCAACACGGATCTTTGAAAGGGTAGAGGCCTGCTTCGAAGGGGAGCCATCAACCACGTGCTCAACGTTGAGTCGAGCAACAAGGCCATAATCATCCAACTTAAGAAGCGTATCGTCGGCCGACTTCTCGAAAACTGTACCAGAGACAAGCATGCCCGGGTGAATGTTCTCAAAAGCTTTCCTGTAAGCCTCGGTGAAAGTCTCGGGATCCTTGCAAGAGACAGCAAGCTTCTCACGAGAGGCATCCACGCTCAAGGCGTGAACATTGACCACTTGACCGAGTCTGAAGTGTTGTGAAGGGTCCTTGATGTATGCCTCGCTCATTTCCGACACAGGAAGGAAACCGCGGATTGAACCGTAGAACTGAACCACAGCACCATGGGGTTGAATCTTGATGATGGTTCCCGGGGACTGGGTGCCAGGTGTGATTTCTTCATAGTCCTTCCAGATCGCAGACTCGCTGTTCAACAAACTCTTCTTCAGCGTCAGACGGATCTGGCGCTTCTCCAAGTTGACCGACAAGATCCTGGTCGACACCGTCATACCCTCGCGGAACTTCTTCTCGGGGAATTGCAAAGGAGTATCGGCGAAATGCATGGACGGAACAAGACCTGTGATGCCATCTGCAAGGACAACAATCAGGCCATCGACACCGTTGGCTCCGATGAGAAGCTTCTCCACCTTTCCTTTCACAACTGCACCCAGGGTCACGTCTTCGACCCGGAGGAAAGGCTGATCAATGACCTTCTTCTCGAAAGACAGGAGGTACAGGTTATCAATGGCACTGTATCCGACCACTCTTCCCTCGTGCACCGATTCAACTCGGAAGGGTCCAAGCTCAGGCGAAATAGTTTCTACCTGTCCATCTGCAAGTCGCGACACGTGAACGAATCCGAGATGCTTAGTCGAACCGATCTGCACGTACACACCGAGACCGGGTTCCACCTTGACCACCTTAGCTTCCGGTACAATGGCAGAGATGGCGGGTGCGTCTTCCGAGGAACCGGGGCCGCCCTCAGTGGCAAATTTGGCGACGTGGTCGAGTAGCGAAAATCCAACCTTGTATGGCTCAGCGGAGGGGAAAGTGCAGACGAGACGGCCCTTGATCTTGGCGCCAGTACTGTATTTCTTGGTCAGATCGTCCTTTCCTGAGCTCCCTCCAGATTGCACCAGATCGACCGTGGCATCCAGCATGCCCATGATCTTTCCGGCCATGCCGGTTGACGAGACATCGGTCAGAAGAATTTCCGCGGCGGTACCTGGGAGGAAAGAGGTGATCGTAGGAGCCGTGCTGAGGTAGTGTGACTTTTTGATAGAACCGGCGGACTGGAGGTTGGCGGACAGCTTGATAACACTGCCATTAGCGTTCTGGCCAGTGACCATACACAGGAAGACCGAGCCTTCCTTGATAGTGGATGGCTGAGTCTTGGGATCAACTTCCTTGGAAGACATAAATCCCTTGACCTCACCTCCCTCAAGACCCAGGTCCATAACCAAACCATGATCTTCCACACTGACAACTGAGGCTTGAACAGCGGAGTTGACGACCAGATCCGATTTCGAAAGCCCCGAGTTGGCCTGTCTTGGGTCAACTGAAAGCTCGATGCGCTTCCTGCTCTTAGCACTGGCATCGGCGGCATTGCTTCCCGCAGATACAACGTATGCTCGCAGATACTGGCCGAGGTAGAAGTACTTGTGAAGGTCTAGCGAGTCGTCGTCCTCCTCGTCTTCCTCCTCGTCGCTTCCGTCATCCTTGAGAATCTTCTCAATCTTCTCCTCCAGCACCTTGGACACGGATGTTAAAGGCACGTAACCAGTGAGATTGTTGGGCAGGGACAGTCC